AACATAGATATAAGTCAGACAATCCACTATACACTGGATACAAGGATACTCGTATTCTTGGGAGTTTTTTTTTACATCCTTGGTCCATTCCACAGCAGAAGCGAATTGTGGGTAATCTGGGGATTTCTTGAATATTTGAATTTGCTTTCTTACGCATCCCCGCGCCCACTCCACAGCAGAAGCGAATTGTGGGTAATCTGGGGATTTCTGAAATATCCGAATTTGCTTTCGTACGCATCCGCGGGCCCACTCCACAGCAGAAGCGAATTCTGGGTAATCTGGGGATTTGTTAAATATCCGAATTTGTTTTCGTGCGCATCCGCGGGCCCACTCCACAGCAGAAGCGAATTATGGGTAATCTGGGGATTTGTTAAATATACGAATTTGTTTTCGTACGCATCCGCGGGCCCACTCCACAGCAGAAGCGAATTGTGGGTAATCTGGGGATTTGTTAAATATCCGAATTTGTTTTCGTACGCATCCGCGGGCCCACTCCACAGCAGAAGCGAATTGTGGGTAATCTGGGGATATCTTAAATATCCGAATTTGTTTTCGTACGCATCCGCAAATTGTTGAAATTACAATCGCCACAAGAGGGCGCACCCCGTAAATTGCCATATACGTACATTGTAACGTTGCCTTTGCGCGTCGCATAAGCAAATGTCTGCTCGGATTCGTGACTGTACTGATTTTTGCTGATTGGAAACTTTGCGTATCAGACAAGAAGTTGGTTCACATACAACCTTCGCCGGTGTCAAAACCGAGCATCTCTCAAAGATCTAATCTCCAAGCAGATCCCTCTCGGTGGCAAAAAGACAGTATCAAATTGGCCAGGCAGTATCCATTAGCCAGAGAAGCTCCGCGGCCACCGACGGGATCTGCAGAAAGTCGCACTGGACAGGTATCAGGACCAAAAAAAAACGGCCATATATAAAAAGGTAACGATTATTCCCCACAACCTCTGCTTGGAGAGTATCAAAGATCCACTTCGGTATTTTCGACGGATCCGCAGAGCACTTCCGGCAGCAGCAGTGCCTTGTGGGTAATCTGAGAAAACCCCGGGGGAGATTCAAACTCAACGGTCACTTTAACGCTTGCTTGAGTGTGCGTCCCTTTCTATCGTCCCGCTGTCCATATATATACGCTTCATATATAAGTTCAGCAACCACGGCATTGACTGTCAAAGTCTAGGATACTGACCGTACACCGACTGGATGCTATGAGCTATCAATGGCCGAGACAAGGACGAGAGACGTACCGGGGACATCGCCCGGCGAGGGCACGAAGCCGCCAGGCATGTCATGACAAGTTGCAGACTCGCCTGACGAACTGGACCATAAACCGACTGCATAAGACTGTTGACGGCATATAGAAGTGAGTAAACCCTTCGAAACTCTTTTAATTAGTATAATGGTTTCAGATCATTTCTGACGAAAGTTTAGAGCAACTCAACTTCGCAACTTACATCTGTGGCCTTTATCTGACCTGTTGTTCCAATATGTAAAAGCACCGGCCTTCTCACCGGGGCGTATTTCACATGTCAATGCTGGCTCGCATAACAATGCCTACTGCTGGCATCCGGGCCGCTGGGGAGACTGTTATCCTAACGGTTTTTAGCACATTCTGGCCGAAATGCCATTTTTACACTGTATTTAGTTTTCTGTTGTTGTTGTTTTTTCGTAGGTCAGAAGCGACTGATTGAACGTGGTAAGACTGTCTTCAGCGCAGACTTCTACAAAGACCATCCTGATGTGGGACTAGGAGACAGATGATGGCTGTGTAACAACACATGAACTGTGAGACGATCATCCTGGCGAAGCAAGACTTGATAGTTCTAGTTCTACCTGTTTAGTTTATTTATTTTACAAATGTTAGATGTATTCGTATAGTTATGGGTTCACCACACCACGAAGTGGTGTGTGGTGAACCCATATTGCTTTTTCTGGTGTTTCTTCTTCTCCTTCTTCTCCTGCCATTTTTTAAATGGATTCAGCTTCTTCATTTTAGGGCCTAAGGTCCTGAAATTTGGTATGGAGGTACAGTGGGCAAATACCCCTAAGCGTTTTTTAAATTTTTGTGATACGGGCTTTTAGAATGGTTTTATTTGAGTTTTTTGGCTGTGTTATAGCAAATGTATTACTGTGTTAGTGTGTGTTTACCACGTTTGGGCATGAGTCATCACAATGGAATGCAGGGCATCAACCAATAGGCATGCAGCTTTCCTCTATTCTTCTTGCTGATTGGCTGTTGGGATTTAACTTGATTAACACCTGCACAGAGCATTTCCACCTGCACAGAGCATTTCTTGCTGATTGGCTGTTGGGATTTAACTTGATTAACACCTGCACAGAGCATTTCCATACTAACAGTATGTCTGTATTCAAGTGTTTTGGTAGGTATTTCAAGCTTTCCTGCTCCAGCATTGGAATGCGGGGCATGAACGTTTTTTATTTTTATTTTGAAAATCAACAGTTTGCATTATGTAATTAAAAATCCTAACCAATAAAGTAGGGAATAGCTATCCAACTGTTTTTTTCGTTGTATGTTACTTCATATTATAGTTATATCAATGTAAATCATTGTTTTCCCTTGTGTTTCTCATTCTTTCCCTGCCATGTCGTAAAATGTGGTGAACCCATCGCTGTATTTGCTCCAAAGCAAATATTGGCCTTTCTAGTTGACGTCTGATTTGTAAAGATAACAATAAAACATCTTGTTTAAAAACCAAACAAATATTGCACAATATATTAAATACACCAGTCTAGATTAAGCTAATTATATGCTAATTAAAAGAAAAGTTACATTTAATAGCTAACTGCTTATCAATTGGACTCACCATTTTCACAGTTATGTCCAGTCCATCCAGGTAAGCAGGTACAGCTGTATCCGCCATCTTTGTTCACACAGCGGCCATGTTTACATGGATTCTCTTTACACTCAATGACGTCTGTTTTGTAAAGATAACAATAAAACATCTTGTTTAAAAAACGAAGAAATATTGCACAATATATTAAATACACCAGTCTAGATTAAGCTCATTATATGATGATTAAAAAGAAATATTACATTTAATAGCTAACTGCTTATAAATAGACTTACCATTTTCACAGTCATGTCCAGTCCATCCAGGTAAGCAAGTACACTTATATCCGCCATCTTTGTTCACACAGCCGCCATGTTTACATGGATTATCTTTACACTCATTAACGTCTGTTTGCAAAGATAACAAAAAAACATCTTGTTAAAAAACCGAAGAAATATTGCACAATATATTCAATACACCAATCTAGATTAAGCTCATTATATGGTGATTAAAAAATAATATATTTAATAGCTAACTGCTTATCAAATGGACTTACCATTTGCACAGTCATGTCCAGTCCATCCAGGTGAGCAGATACAGCTGTATCCGCCATCTTTGTTTACACAGCGTCCATGTTTACATGGATTCTCTTTACACTCATTGACGTCTGTTTGCAAAGATAACAATAAAACATCTTGTTAAAAAACCGAAGAAATAGTGCACAATATATTCAATACACCAGTCTAGAATAAGCTCATTATATGCTGTTAAAAAAGAAATATTACATTTAATAGCTAACCGCTAATCAAATGGACTTAACAATTTTCACAGTCATGTTCAGTCCATCCAGGTGAGCAGGTACACTTGTATCCGCCATCTTTGTTCACACAGCGTCCATGTTTACATGGATTCTTTTTACACTCATCGACGTCTGTTTTGTAAAGATATCAATAAACATCTTGTTAAAAAACCGAAGAAATATTGCACAATATATTCAATACACGAGTCTAGATTAAGCTCATTATATGGTGATTAAAAATATTATTTTTAATAGCTAACTGCTTTTCAAATGGACTTACCATTTTCACAGTCATGTCCAGTCCATGCAGGTGAGCAGGTACACTTATATCCGCCATCTTTGTTCACACAGCGGCCATGTTTACATGGATTCTCTTTACACTCATCGACGTCTGTTTTGTAAAGATAACAATAAAACATCTTGTTTAAAAACCGAAGAAATATTGCACAATATATTTAATACACCAGTCTAGATTAAGCTCAATATATGGTGATTAAAAGAAATGTTAGATTCAATAGCTAACTGCTTGTCAAATGGACTTACCATTTTCACAGTCATGTCCAGTCCATCCAGGTGAGCAGGAACACTTATATCCGCCATCTTTGTTCACACAGCGTCCATGTTTACATGGATTCTCTTTACACTCATTGACGTCTGTTGGAAAAGATAACAATAAAACATCTTGTTTCAAAACCGAAGAAATGTTGCACAATATATTCAATACACCAGTCTAGATTAAGCTCAATATATGGTGATTAAAAAGAAATATTACATTTAATAGCTAACCGCTAGATAATCAAATGGACTTACCATTTTCACAGTCATGTCCAGTCCATCCAGGTGAGCAGATGCAGTTGTATCCGCCATCTTTGTTCACACAGCGTCCATGTTTACATGGATTCCCTTTACACTCATCGACGTCTGATTTGTAAAGATAACAATAAAACATCTTGTTTGAAAACCGAAAAAATAATGCACAATATATTCAATACACCGGTCTAGCTTAAGCTCAATATATGCTGATTAAAAAGAAATATTACATTTAATAGCTAACCGCTAATCAAATGGACTTACCATTTTCAGAGTCATGTCCAGTCCATCCAGGTGAGCAGGTACACTTGTATCCGCCATCTTTGTTCTCACAGCGTCCATGTTTACATGGTTTCTCTTTACACTCATCGACGTCTGTTTTGTAAAGATAACAATAAAACATCTTGTTAAAAAAAACGAAGAAATATTGCACAATATATTCAATACACCAGTTTAGATTAAGCTCATTATATGCTGATTAAAAAGAAATATTACATTTAATAGCTAACCGCTAATAAATGGACTTAACAATTTTCACAGTCATGTTCAGTCCATCCAGGTGAGCAGGTACAATTGTATCCGCCATCTTTGTTCACACAGCGTCCATGTTTACATGGATTCTCTTTACACTCATCGACGTCTGTTTTGTAAAGATATCAATAAACATCTTGTTTAAAAACCGAAGATATATTGCACAATATATTCAATACACCGGTCTAGATTAAGCTCATTATATGGTGATTAAAAAGAAATACTACGTTTAATATCTAACTGCTTAATATCAAATGGACTTACCATTTTCACAGTCATGTCCAGTCCATCCAGGTGAGCAGGTACAATTATACCCGACATCTTTGTTTCCACAGCGGCCATGTTGACATGGTTTCTTTTTACACTCATCGATGCCTACTAAGTTAAAGTCAAAATAATTCCGTCTTAAATTCAAATGTGTACACAATAAGAAAGAAAGAAATTGATGATGATCATTGTACGCTTTTTTTTTATTTCTGTGATCTAGGGTAGCACTACTCAGTAGCTGTAGCATTTTTTTTACATAGTGGCCCGGAAGACATATATACAAGGCAAAACAATAAGACAATGAAACATCAATATCATAATTATGATTAATAGAAGATAATTTGATTACAAATGGATTTTCTGCCAATTTAATAAGACAATTAAATAGCTGTTTTCTATTAATGCATTTTAGAATATGCCTTACCAGTGGATGGTACAGATGTGGTCGTTATTATAGGCAAGGATCCTTTGGTGTGGTTGGTGTTGGTAAATGGTTCCATTGAGAAAGTTGGAGTTACTGTAGTATAGGTGGCGGATGAGATGTTATCCTTGTAGACCGATCTCAACATTGGGCTAGTTGACTGAAGTCTGTTTGAGACGATCCCCATGACTTCCGTCGAGTTACGATTTACCTAAAATTGTGGAAGACTGCATCATCACTTCATAACACTGGACAGTCCTTTCTTTTCCTTAATAATATTCATACCAACAAAAAAAAAAAAACAGACATAAATAAATAAATAAAGTTTCCCAAATGACAGTCCTAGTACAGCAGGCCAATTGTGCTAATATTTTTATAATTGCCCCATGCTAATATTCTCCTTAAGAATGGTCTTCTCAACAATATTGTTTACATCCTGTAAGTTGTCCTAGAATTTGAATGTATGCTTTTTCTGTTTATTAATTTACAACATCAAAAAGCGGCTGGGTAGCCTATTCAACTCGTAGTAGCTAATCAGTTAGTAATCAGTTGACCTATAGCATATAGTGGGTATGTGGAGGAAAAAGGCAGTACAATCTGGTAGAATAAAAACATCCACACACACATTTTTACATTTGCAGAAGTTTCAATTGGTCAAGAAAGAAGACTTGTTTCTTTACCTCCATTCCAGGTACCAGACTAGGGAGAAGGATCGACAGGGTGATAAGTATCGATATCCCCAGTAGAGCAAAGCCCAGCGCCATCCAGTGAACCTTTTTTAGATTTATCTTATTCCACATTTCCTTGGCAATGTCTAAGAAACATATCGAACCAAATAGTAAGGAGATTAGAATGCAAAAGGATATGTCATAAAAACAAATGCCCTGTAACAAATGTGACCACATATCTTTTACGCAATGATACTTTAAATAGCATAATTTACATTTGTCTCTCTCTATCTATATATCTATATTTGTAACTATTCAATTATCAGCTATGCTTATGCATAACGACTGTGGACATTAATCCATTTTCAAAGATCTTGTCAGAAAGGTGGAAAGGGTGAGAGATAAGATGGCTGCCTTTATGTAATAGTCCAAGGGACGCGGATAGAAACCACCGAGACCAGGGTAGCCCCTAAAGATAGGGTTTACCTTGGATAGGGTTTTAAGTTATTCTAAGTTTATTACTCCATGAAGGATGTATACCTACTGTAGGAGTATTGTGGCCAGATGGTTTTCGTGTTCGCAGCCAAAACACAGGGTTCCCTTTGTTTAATCGGCATGTAATTTTATACGTCATCTGCAGGCATGTCCGTGATGATGCACGTGTCTTTATTTTTACCGTAGCTGTTTTCGCGGTCAACGTAATATTTCAGATGCATCCCTACATTTATGAGACAAATGGTGAAGGTCTAAAAACGTTTTACCCTGTATGGTGGAGTTGGTTGGGTCGGAGGTACTTTCATCGTTGTCCGCACGTGCCTGGTAATCAGTCTGGTGTTGGTCGGCGGGTGTGGCACCTGTAGGAAAATTATAATTTTTTTATAAGATGGAAATACAGTCATATATAAAAGCTAGGGTTTTAAATACAAGTAACTTGGACAAAATGTTAAAAAGGACGCTTTACCTTTATTAGAGGCGTACATAGGGTTTAGTATTTTTGCAGCCGCGTCAGCAACTTCTGTCCAATCAGACTGAGGCTTCGGCATGGGTGCTGATTCTTAGTGAGGGGGGTAGGAGGATACAAATAATAAGTATTTTATACCTCGACGTTACATAAAATAGAATGCAAAGAATAATAATTTCTGAGCTTGATGTTATACCTTCGACAACATGCAAAACGACGCTACCCTGGATTTCGTATTTTTTTTAAAATATGAAATCCACAATAACATCATTGAAACCTGAACAGGTTTCTCAATGATTTTGAGAAAAAGTTGATAATTTCTTATCAAAGACATTTAACCCGATTCAGACCGGGATTTTTGGACATGCTGGGACGAGAGATGGGGGAGGGG